GCCCTGGGAAGACGCGCTGCTGTGCGTGGCAGATCGCAGCGCACTCGGCCTATTTTTCTGCTCCTGGTTTCGAGGGGGAGCCAAGGTAGCCGAGGGGTGAGTTGTGTCATGGACGGCTTTTCTTTCTTACTCCTCAGACCCCACGCTTATGAGTGCGTCCTTGGAAATTCACTCAGGAAAGAGGAGAAGCTGAAGGAAGCGGGGAGGGTTGGTTTAGGGCAGTTTTCTTGGATTTAATATGTGTGTGTGTGTGTGTGTGTGTGTGGTGCACGCGTTGGACAGGAAACATTACCACTGCAGGGCATCTGGTGCTCGCTGTGGATTGCGAGGGCGGGGCTTGCTCCCGCTCAGGTCAGCCTGTGCCTGTGGCCCAGAAGGCGTTTGTATCTTTGGACCTTGGCCTGTAGGCTTATGCGGTGGAGGAGGCGGGAAGACCCGCTGGCCGGTCTCAGGGGCCAAGGAGAGAAGGAGTTCTGCTTACAGACGTTACAGATCGGTCCTGGGTAATGGCCTTGGTGTTGATCAGACCATCCTGGGGCCCCGGTGAATACCGGGTAAGAGCCGCCGTAAGTGAGCCACTGCGCACGCACTCGCGGCTGCTCAGGTTTGTTCTCATTGACGGCAATGAGGGCCAGCCTGGGCCGCACGGTCCTGCTGCTCACAGGGCTTCTCCTGTTTCAGGCTCATACTGAACCGCAGTGTCTTCAGCTGGGCTCACAGGGGCCAGGTGGAGCGCAGAGCCTGGGTTGTGCTTGAGTGTCCAGTGGCAGCGACAGCTTTTCCGTGACGGCACGGGCCGATGCACACTTGTGCTGGTCCGGGTTTTATAAACGAGACAGAAATCGTCACCCCCGTGAAATGGCCTCGGACAGCTGTTGCTCTTACAGCCGTTAGGGGGGGAGTGCCACCTCCCGACTCAGGCGGTGAGGTTTGTCGCGATTGCGGATTCAGACTCTCTCCCTTTGAGACACCATGTGCGTGCGCGTCAGTCTCTCGTAGGCAGACGCGCCGTCTGTGTACATGATGTTCACACTGAGATGCAGATCAGCAAAGGGAATGATTATTTTAGCTGAAGTTTAGGTCCATGTGAAGCCGTTTCCTAACCACGCCTGGGCCGTCGTGGGCACGCGCGGTGGTGGTGGTGGACCCGGACAGGAGGCTGCTGCCTGCAGCGCGTTCCCAGTGATGGGAGCGCCCCTCGCCCGTCTTGACCTTGGACTCCAGTGCTGGCCACCGGACCCTCCCCCGCACCAGGACGCCATGGAGCGGGGCTTTCTGCTTGTTCTGGAAAAAAACAGGTGGACGCTGAAGCCCCATGTTCTTCTCGTCCTGTTGGCATTTGCACCTGGCGCGACTTTCTCCCTTTCTCTGCTCATTTCTACAGGATTCGGTCAGGTGCTTCTCAGGCTTTCGGTCAGGTGGGGTTTTCAGAATTTCAGTGTTGCAATCACTCTTTATTAATAGGGTACAGGAAGGCTAGTATTTTTTATTCTTCAGTTTCCAGAGTTACCTACAAAGGCAAATAAATCCTGCTCACTGCAGAAAACCTGGGGAGTAGGCCTGGGCAGAAAGAGGACGAGGCACCTAGAAGTCTCCGCAGGTCCCATCTATAACTCTTAATAAGAAATAGGGCTGCATTAGCCTATTATATCCTTAATGGAATATTGTAATGGTTATTAAATCAATTGACTCAGAATCTCTCTGTCATAAATGAGTCAGGCTCTATTATCCAATTACTGTCAGCTGCTACCTTTCCGGAGAGCAGAAACGGTGACTTGGATTGAATTTTTAAACCGTTGGCACCTCTAAGAAGAAAGCAGAGAAGAGGTGAGGCTCGAGCTGTGTCTCCGTGGGCAGAATCCAAGTCTCGGGCTGAAGGTCACCTGAAATCGGAGGTGTTGATAGCATCGCCTCATGCACAGCGACTTCACATTAACCACTGTCGCTCCTTCCTGTTCTTCACTCCCCGACGCCCCACGAGAAGAAAACAGGAGAGAAGCCCTGCGTTGAAAGGACACGGGCTTGACGCAGCCGCATCCCGCAGCACGGAGGGCGCTAGCGAGCCTGTGAAAAGTCAGACACTGCTCTTAGTCTCACAGTGCAAACGTCAGAGTGCGCGCGAGTTCAGCTAAACAGACGCCGAGTAAGGATACGCTTTACAGTTCTTACCATACATGAGCTCAGTTTGCCGTCACCGTCGATCCCCCTTCTTCAGTGAAAAACTATGAAATGAATTCTGTTAACCAGCTGTAATGCTTCGGGCCCCCATCTCGTTCATCCTGCGTTTGACCCTGTGGCCGTGGCGGGGGAGCCGGGACCGGGCTCAGGTGGTGAGCATGGGCGAGGAGTGGGTGGGTGCTGCACGGCCTGTGCTGGCTTTGGCCGGCCTGGCATCGCTGTGGAACAGCTCAGATGTGTTCTCTCTCCTGTGAAACTCAGGAGGTGCAGTTATTTGTTGCCGAAGACCTCACTCTGCTCCTTAGAAGCAAGAGGCAGGTAGAACCTCCTACCTGGTTTCCATATTCCTCTGTGCCTTTACTGGATGGGGTTCTGCAAGGGCCGGCCCCACGGTGATGGCCTGGGCAGCTCCTGGAACAACGTCTGCAGGAAGCTCGTGCAGTGCTCTACCAGTGGTAGCCCCTGTGATGGGGCAAAGGCATCCCCGCTCCCTGGGCCCCGTTCTGCCTGTGAAATGGGGGTGGGAGACGAGTGCCGCCCATGTGCGAGGTCAGGTGCCTGTGTCTGGATTCGTTCACGCTCTGATGGGATTGCTCTGTTCTCGGGTAGGAAATGATACACATTGATGAGAACGCGCTCCTGTACATGCACATGCATCTCTTGTGCTTGTTTTCCCTTCTATCATTTTCCCAAACAAAACGCTCACAGTCAAGGAAGACAGCGTCACATCAGCGATTCACGGGCCTCATGTACTTTAGGTTCGTGTAACAGTCCATCATTAGCCCCAGAAAACCCACAGGACCTTCACCGGGAGCGGAAGTTGAAGGATTCTGGAGTGCATGTGGGTACTGCTCAAGCCACAGGCCATGCTCTTGGTTCTGGTGCCAAATACATAATTGAAAGATAAAATTAAAACGTAGCTATTGTCCTACTATCAAGATAAAGGCACACAGCACTGAGGAAACAGAAAATGTTTAAATTTGTCAAGCCTTCCTGAGGATTAAATCACTGACCCAGTTCCCTACAATAAATCGTGTTTCTTAGGTTTCTCAATATCTAAAATTTGGCAAATTTTTGGTAACTTTAAAATGAAAAGAAAAAAAAAGAACAAAACAGATGAAAACCCCTTGATCTTATATAATCCCTAAAGCTTTTAGTGAAACCCCTTGTCATGGAGTGTGCACAATTAAACTCCTTTTTACATAATTATAATCGAGGAATTTACTCTGCCACCCAAATACAGAGTCGGTTTTTATCTCCTGTGAAATGTAGACAGTGCTGGGTGGCTTAATTAGTGCTTTGCTTCTCTTTTTACCAGTTCCGACCCTCTGCTTCTAAAGACGCATGCTTGTGTGGGAGGGAAGATTAGGAATACAAATAGAGTGATTTTACCCCGAGTTAGCGGATAATCACTCACTTTGTAATTGGGCTTTTGTGTTGCCAGTAATACGAACGGGGGGAGGACTCCCGCACCCGTGTTGTGCTGAACGAGAGGAACGGACTTGGAAGACGTGCCGCCCCCACCGTGTGCTTTTGTCTTTCGCTCCCTGGGTCTGGGGTGTCGGACACAGACGTTCCTTGTAGCGTGTGTAATCTCTGCAAATCAGAGAAGATAAAAGCGGGATATGTCAGGTTAAATGGCAGCCCCCACCCTGTACTCGCCCTCAGCCGTCGTCCGTGGCAGCTGGAGTTCGCCTTCGCTTCTTTGTGAAGGTCCCACACCCTGAGCCAGCTGCCTGGGTTCGAGTCCAGGCGGCCTCGGGTGGGTTTTGGCTCTGACAGTGATTGCCCCTGTGACTGAGAACAACGTTACTTCAGCTCCCGGGGCCTCATTCTCCTCCTCTGTAGAATGGGGATGGGGATGGGAGAGGAGGCCTCGGGCTGTGGAGGTCAAGGAATTGGTGTCTGTGAGCGCTAGGAACCACGGGGTCTGAAGCCAGGAATCCCAGGGGTCCGTCCCAGGGCTGCTGCTCTTCGCCTCTTACTCTCGCTCATCGAAGCAAGTCAGGGTAATACTTAGGTTTTAAATTTCATAAACATTTTCACGAGAGAAAAAAGGCAACGTAAAAATAACAGGTTTTATCTATAACACACACGTTTCACATTATATAGCAGTTGTTACTTGAAAATATTTTTCTACCATCTTGTGCCTAAGACATCAAAGAAAAATCTGGAAAGTGACCCTGGAGCTCCTGAAGGTGCCCTTGGAGAAGGGCAGGCCGCGTCCAGGGGGGGTGGAATTGGAACTGTCTCTCTTAGTGAAGGAGGAACCGGTTGAGAAGAGATGGGGTCTGGGAGGACCATGCATAGCAGAGCGTTTGCAGGGTACTATAGGCATTGGCAATATTTCAGAATTCCCTGAAAATTTTAAAATTAAAGAAAATCTCCTCTATGGGAATACCACTCAGAACCTTATGGTTAGAAATCGAAATGTCTAGAACTTTCTAGATGAACCAGAGGAAAGGCCTGAGGAAGAAGCTGTCCATCTTTCTATGGGTCTTTTATCTTGAGGACTTGGGAAATACGCAGCCCATAAGCGTATGATAGAGAAGAGGAGACACCTCGTTATTGACACACCAATCATACTTTAAGAGCTTAATAAAACACACTACCCACGATAAAATCCGCCTCTGTATCATCTTTGGATGTTACGTCTCAGAAATGTGTTAAATTGATATAAATGCATCCAGGGAAGTAACCAGAAACATACACACTACCAGCAGGCGGCGGCAGTGGCTTCACGTATGCAGTTATCATCAGCTCAGTCATCCACTGAACACAGGTGGGTTCTCACGTCTCTACTCGTGTGTTTTCCTTAACAGATGAAGGGCTGAACCATGAATGCAAGCTCTGCAGCCAGACCTTCGACTCCCCGGCCAAACTGCAGTGCCACCTGATCGAGCACAGCTTCGAGGGCATGGGGGGCACCTTCAAGTGCCCCGTGTGCTTCACAGGTAGGCAGTTGACATGCAGGCAGGGCCTGCTCCCGGCCTGTCGCTCAGGCCCCCCACCCCAGCACAGGTCCCCCTGCTCTGGCCTGGCACAGAGCGGACGCCGTTTCATCTGGGAGGAGGTGTTTGACTTTGCTGTTAGCATTATTGATCGCGGCTACTTAGAGGCTCGGATGGGTGGAAGGTTAGCCGGGAGGACGAGCAAAGGGCATTTCAGTTCCTCTCAGGAGTTTGCACTTTTCCATTTGGAAAATGACATCCCAGTTTTGTTCCATTTTCTCTTCTCAACGTCAGAAGGTTGCCGAGGCAAAGACTGCCTGATGGAGCGCTTTTCAGTCACTAGACGCTGGACTAAAAGCGTGGTCCTGCTGTCAGTGCGTCTGTTGCTGAAGAAGGAAGACTTTATCCAGGGGTGGGAGCCTTTTACCTGCCAGGGGCCGTTTGTATCTTTATGACATCATTGGTGGGCCATACAGAGCTAGCACCTTCACAGGTAGCGTGCTGCATCTGGTCAGACATTTAATGAGCTTCCCCCAGTGGGTAGGCAGGGCCAGGCCAAATGGCTTCCCGGGGCGGGCCAGATGTTCCCCACCCTGCTCTATAACACTGCCCATAAGCAATGATAATATTATTATTGATTTCAGAGAGGGAGAGAAAGACACATCAATGATGAGAGAGAACCATTAATCGGCTGCCTCTTGCACGTCCCACCCAGGGGATCAACCCTGCAACCAGGGCATGTGCCCTGACCAGGAATCAAACTGTGACTTCCTGGTTCATAGGTCGACGCTCAACCACTGAGCCACACCACCCTAGAAATGAAAAGATTATTATCATCCTCCCAAAACTCCTGAACTTGCAAACAGTTGATAAGGCTTTCATTTCCTATGACAGTGGAATTTTTAAAGGAGACATTGATATAAATATACACATTGAAGAAGAAATTTTTATAGCTGGGGTAATAGGTCACATTTTAGCACCCAAAAAATGTAAATCAGAAACGATAGCTTGAAGCCCCCGGGTTGAAATGTGGCCGCACGCGGTGCTGATACTCCCCCGACAATCCGTTATTCCGGACGCTCCTCCTGGTCCTTCTGCGTGTGCCGGGGACTCGGTGTTAGTCCCTCGAGGCTATGCTTCTTTCTTATTTGTCAGGAAAAGCAAAACAAAGCAAACCTGTAGTCTCTTGAAATTGACCTCTTTGTTTCCTGAGCGACCTTCCAGGCATTGATCACTCACCCCGGTGGCCCGCCTTGGCGCTCTGAGCTGTGATGAGCCAGGGCCCTGTTCCCGGCCCAGGGCGCCGGAGCAGGAGCAGGACCCAGTGTGTGCGCTCGGCCTTCAGCGGGCGCTGCCAGGCTCCTTCCTCGGGTAATTCCACAGCCACAGCGTCTTTCAGGACTATTTTTCTGTTTTTGTTTTTATTTTTTTGTTAATCCTCACCTGAGGACATTTTTCCATTGATTTTTAGAGAGGGTGGAAGGGAGGGGGAGAGACACAGAGAGAGAGAGAAACATCGATGTGAGAGAGACACATTGATTGGTTGCCTCCCACACGTGCCCGACCAGGGTCAAGGATTGAGCCTGCAACAGGTGTACTTGCCCTTGCCTGGAATCAAACCCAGGACCCTTCGGTCCACAGGCCGACCCTCTATCCACAGAGCCAAACAGGCAAGGGCAGAACTATATCTTTCTTCTGAATTTGTACTTAAATAATCTGTCATGTGCTGTTTTTCCCATAACATAGTATTTATCTGGATGCTTTGTAAATGCTCCTAATAAGTCATTGTAGGGGGCAGGGTCCTAGAGCTCCTGTAGGGCCTCAAGATTAAGACCCTCATGAAACAGCTCCTTCGTGGCGTGGCCAGAAGCCTCATAAAATGTGCTGACTGATAGGAACATTAGTTGCAAATCTGTATGAAAACCCGTTTCTTTTGGTGATGTGGGTGAGAGACAAAAAGGCATTAATTACGAGCGGTCTGCACTTTCTGGGCCAACAGGCCTGGATTGTATTTGTGTATCTTGAAGTCGCTTTTTAGAAATAACAATTAAAGGGGGGCGGGGGGGGGCGCTGGCAATGTTAGTGGGAGAGGCAATCTGAGCAGTTTTTAGGGTAATGAGAAATGTGATTAAAATGTATGACTCATAAGAGCAATATTCTAATATTTTGGGTTGGCTGGCAATTAGAATAATTTTAATGATTAGCGCAGAGTCAAAGCCAAACGCCGGCGTCTTTAATAAGCCCTCTCCCCGCCTGTCCCGATTAATATTGTGGATGCGAACTTTTTTAGGTCACAGTGCACCAGGCATCCGTCAGGAGCCGCGCTGCCAACCCAAACACTGCCTCTGGCATCTACAATTTAATTATTAATAGGATGTCTCCCAGGTAAACTGTTACACAGGCTTAGGGCCTTGTTTTGTAGTCATTAAAATTGAACATGTTTATATTATTGAAACCCTTGCGTTCCGTGTGTAGGCTGAGTTGATCTTAAAGGACCCAAAGAGACGTTACCTGGGGTTCTGTTTCATATTTATAGACAATGCCCCCGAGCCGCCGTGGGGTATCATTCTCAGCATTAACGCATTTAAATAGAGAACTGTTTGCCAGCTAGAACTTTAGGCAAATACAATAAACAGGGTTTGGCATTTATGATTTCTTAACCTGTGGGTTGCTGAGAAATCGGGGTTCCAGCGGTGCTGCTGTGCATTTGACAATTTGGGGCTTTATTTCGAGAAGATTTGTAGGGAGCGGGACCTCCATACGCCTTGGCTTCGGAGCCGTTCGGGTGAGTTAGGTGCTCCGTCGAGTGCATCGTCACGAAAGCCGGAGACCGGCCAGAGCAAAAGTGGCCGAGCTCCCCTGGCCCCTGGCGGGGTCACCCCCCGAGGCCTGTGCCTTCAGTCCGCCGACGCGGTCTCCTCTCGGGACTCCTCCGTGGAGGCCATTTCGCAGAGAAAGTAACCGAAGCTCCCGTTTTCTCTCATTGCAGTGTTTGTTCAGGCAAACAAGTTGCAGCAGCACATTTTCTCAGCCCACGGACAAGAAGACAAGATCTATGACTGCGCACAGTGTCCACAGAAGTTTTTCTTCCAAACAGAGCTGCAGGTACCATCCCCAAGAGCGCTGGCCTTGACCTCT